ACGATTTATGCAAATTTTATAAAAATCGGTTAAGTATTCGTTGATTTATCAGCATTTGAATTCGAGGATCATTCGAAATATACTTCGTGTTCGGTGCTGGGCGCCTATTACCTAAAAATGAAAAATCACACAAAAATCTATTTTTAGAAAACTGCAATGTTTTCTTCATATGTATGTATATTACGAGATATGTTACATTAATATTTGTGCATAAAAACTATCGCCTACCTTATCAATTTAAAAATTTAACGTCAGACTATTTTCGCCCTAAAAGTATGCTATAATTTTCATTACAAACCGGCAGTCAATGAGAAAAAAATTGTGGTTTTTTAAAAAACGATTTTTGTGTGATTTTTCATTTTTGGGTAACAGGTGCCCAGCACCGAACAGTAAGTAAATTTCGAATGATGGTTGAATAAAAATGCAAATATCTCAGCGAATACTTCACCGATTTTTATAAAATTTGCACAAATGATTAGAGGGAAATGTAAAGTTTTATTACATACCGATATTATAGTATGTTATGTTAGAGACAATTGACATTATGTGAAAGTTCTAAGCTATTTAAAATATTGACTATTTTTATACATACCCGGGTGAAGTGTATATTAAGTTTGTCATTCCGTATGCCACACCTCGAAATATTCACCGGTGGACCCCATAAAGTAGATATATTCCTCTAATTTATGCATGTCCGTATGTATGTTGAAATCACGGTAGAGCTTGCAATATTTAAAATAAAGCTTTGAAATTTTGCATATACATTGATAATTACTCCTAGGATGTTTTGGATTGAAAATTGCATATATCGGTCCACGTTTTGGTATAGCTTCCGTATAACGTTACCCCATTTACCTATTTTGAGATTTTTGGCACGTTTTTCAACCGAATTGGCTGTAATTTGGTATTTTGGGTTATCATTGATTGTCAAATCTCAATTTCGGTCCACTTCTTAAGATACCCATGTAACGGTACCTCCCAAATTTTTGCATTTCAAGGAGTATGATCGCCTTTTTCAACCGAATTGACTGTAATTTGGTACTGTGGGTTCTATGTAGCTAATACATCTGCATACCAAATATTATCAATATTGTTCCCTTTTTTAGGATTACCCCCATATAACGTTACCTTCATTATTCGATATTTTTGAACTTTTTTGCACGCTTTTCAATCGAATTGATGTAATTTGGTAATTTTGGTTCACATTTGGGTGTGAAATCGCTCGACAAAAAATACTCAATATTGGTTTACTTCATAGGATAGCTCCCATATAATGTTACCTCTCAAATTTTAGGGAGTATGAGCGCATTTTCAATTGAGTTTCAGATATTACTACCACAAATTGTCAATATTGGTCCACTTTTTAGGAACCGAAACCTCCGAAATTTCGGTACTTTAGATAGTATGGAAACGTTTTTTCCACCGAATTGGCTCTAATTTGGTACTTTGGCATCTAATTAGGTAACACATCTCCTACCAAAAATTATCAATATAGGTCCATTTTTTACGATGGCCCTTATATAACGGTACTATCCAATTTTTTGTATTTTATGGAGTATGAGTGTCTTTTTCAACCGAATTGGATGTAATTTGGTATTTTGGGTTCTAATTGGGTTCGTTTTAGGATAGTTCTTTACACGGGACCTCCAAAATGTCGGAATTTTAGGCAGTATGGGAAGATTTTTGAAACGAATTGGCTGTAATTTGGTACTTTGGGTTCTTATCAGGTAACACAACTTCCTACCAAAAATTATAAATATTGATCCTTTGTTTAGAATAACCCCCATATAACGGGACCTCCCAAATGTCGGCCTTTGAAGCATCATTGGGTAGCATATATTCCTGCAAAAATTGTCCAAAATTTACCCAATTTTTAAGGGAAACCTACTTATAATAGGGAAACCTACTTATAATAGGCCCTTTTCTGGATACTGGAATTACGTACGCGTTTTTTAACAAAATTAACAAATATTTACCATGGCAGAACCCACCAGGTGTAAATGTTCCGATATATATTGACACTTTAACCATTCTTTTTTCTTTCTCCTTTAAGGGAACCACACCCCCCCATTCTCGATTTTAATTTTTCAAGATTTTCAATGGGCTGGTAAATGAATACAAATGCTTGTTAAGGTTTGTAACTTTGCACATATATAATTGAAGATTTAAAAGAGAAGAAAAATAATTTACAAAAAATTTTTGTTATTGTTTTGTTGTTGTTTTTTGTAATTAAATGAAAGTCCTTATTTTTGATGGCGGGCATGATAACTCCTCACTGGAACATCGGAATCCGAAAATTCCAACGGTGTTAGAAAGAGTACATGTCTGGCTCTGAACTAGGATTATTGACTTCGCTCTAAAATTAACAAAATGGCGGACCTTTGAAAAAATATTTTTGGAAAATCGCCGATTTTTTTTACCAAAAACCATGTTCAAAAATAAGAAGATCTTCACCCATTGGCTTTATCCTAGTTCATACGAGAGCTATACACTCCCAGAGAAACGTTGCAAAATTTGGAACCGATTGGATTAATAGTTGTGTGTGTAATAGTGGGGGGGGGGGGGGTCCCTTAAATTTGCCCATTGCCGTCGCAACCTCAATACGGATAAAAAAATTGATTAGTTTTCTTCCATTAAAACAATTTTGTAAATAAAAAACATATCGTTTTTGTATATATATTTTTTTGCATATATTTCTTTTTTTATTATTTATTTTTGAAACATTGAATCTGTTTTTTTGTTATTGAAACCAATACAAGCTCTGTTGTTTGTGTTTTGTTGTCCATTGGAGTTACCATTATTATAATTATGTTTGGTAGTTTTGAATATTAGTCTTAACAATTACCCGGGAAAGGGGGGAGTGGGGGTTAGTAATATATTACATTGTTCCGTGTTAGTTTACTATTTATAATATTTATATAATAATAAAAGGGGGTTGGGTGTTTGATTTTTTTTCTTTCTTGTATTATTTTTTTAGATTATAGATTTGTTTGTCATTTTGTTTCATTAAACATAAAACAAAAACAACATTTACAGACAAACAAAAAAATTTGACTAGTATTTAATTCCTTTACACAATTCTTAGTTGTTGTTTTTCTTATTTTTTCCTTTTTGATTTTGTTTCTTCTGTTCCTAATTACTAATTGCTTTACAGAGTTTTATTTTCCATGTGGGTCTTATGTTTAAATATTTTGTTTAAGAAGATAATAAAGTTAAATTATATTTAGATATGTATATATAAAAAATAATTAGAAAATATTTTTATAAACTTAATGAAATAAGGCCTTAGTTTTTTGTTTTTATAATTTTGTTTTATAGAAAATAGAAATTGCATAAATTAAGTTTAAATGTTTTTTGTGATATTTCAGTTACTGAGTATTTTTTTCATTTAAATATTTAATAATATAAGTTGTAATATTTTTTTTTTAAATATAATACAGAATTATTGATTATAGATATTGTGGTTTTTGTTTTTGGAAAAATATATAATAATTAAAAATAAGTTTGTAGTATAAAAAAATAGTTTAAAGTAATACAAAAGTTATTTATACATTTATAGAGAAAAGGTTAATAATTAAATATAGAAATTATTTACAAAAAAAGTATAAAAAAATAAAATAAAATTCATTTTATTATTGTTTATAACACATGGACAAAGGTTCGGGATCTAAGATACAAATGTTAAGGGATTTTTTAATTCAATATAACAATGTTAATGTTTAAAACTGTGATAGCACTTCACAACTGTCTGAAAAAGTTCCCAAATATCTGAATATTCCTAATGTTTAAAGAAAATCATTAGTATTTCTGTTCGAATCAGCTGTTAATGGAGAGAATACTGCTCAAGGAATGCAACACCATGAAATCTAGAAAATAACACCACCGGAAATCAATGAAAACATTTAAAAAATCGAGTTGAGGACAAACAGAATATTTGATCTAAGATTCTACAGGGAATCCCTATTCTGTATGAGTGCTATTTATCGTCCAAAAAAATACAACATTTGAATTTTAAATTTTACCAAATAATCTACTAGGGACTACCTCTTATTGGAATTTATAAATAATTTTGAATTCTTCTGATGATGACCTGATGTGGTTGAAATATCATTCCACAAATTTTGAATTATCCAACTAATGACACTTGAAAATTTATTTTTATCCCGCCAAAAATATCACTAATGAATAAATCCATGTTTCTTTGTATTTCAGATCCTTAACATTTCAATTCATGTGTTAACTAAGTGTCGACGACGAAATTTTTTTGTCATAGTTATTAAAAATTAAAAAAATTAAATTTCTATTTGGAAAGTTAGTTTTTCTTGAGGATTCCTATAGATTCCCACATTTTTTCTTATGAATTCCTGGACCCTTACAATTACATATTTGTTTTAGTTTTCTTATTACGTGTTTGTTTTGTTTGATTTCCTTTATAACAGTTATTGTATAACATTTAAGGGTATAACAATTTGTTTTGGATGTGTACAATAATTAAAACATTTTATAAATGCTTTGTTTTTGTTTGTTTTCTTCAAATATTTTTTGTCAAAAAAATAATTTCATAAAAATTTTGAGACAATTATTTTACTATATATATTTCCATATAACTATATATATGTATAATTTCTATATATATAACTATATAATTGTAATATATATATATACTTTTTTAAATAATCCAAAAAATAAAATCAGTACTTTTGGTTTACTTCTTGTTTCATTTTTGTTTTTTTTTTTAATACACATATTTATGTATGTGTGTGTGTCTGGTTTTGTGGAGGCGGGAGGGAGTATATGTTTATAATCATGTATCCTGATTATGAACATTTTTATTCACAGGATTTTTCTTTATTTTTTCCTTTTTTTTCTTTGTGATGTATAATCCTCCGGTTTTGTTTTGGGGAGTGTATTTTTTTGGAGATCCATAACTGGTTGACAAATCCAGTTTGTTTTTCTTTGTTCAGCTTAGTTCACAATGCCATGGATGTTATTTGTTGTTGTTGTTATCCATATTACACTTTACTTTCAGGACCCTCGGCAACATTTTTAAATGCCAAACGTATTCTTGTTAGGAAATGCGATGCAATATGCCCATAACTTTTATTATACCATTCTGGAGTTTTACCCCTGGAAAAAAGAGAACAAAAAGAGAGAATTAGTTGAAATGTTTATTTTGAATTTAAAACTAAAAAATCTACAAAATATCTTAACATCGAAGTCTTCTAAGTGTATCATTCTTGTTAAAATGAATTTGTCAAAAGGTTTTTTAATACATTTTTATAAGAGGACCACAAAAATACTGAAAATATTGTCCTCAAGATCATTTGTAATTGATCGACAGACATGTCAGGGAATGGTATACCAGGTCCATGGGAATGATGATTATTTTTCAACACAAACAATTTTTTTGAATATCATATGGGGACCTTCCTCTAAGCGGAAACTAAGACAAGGTAAACAAGTGAAAACCCGTTAAGTTCGGCCGGGCCGAACTTTGGATACCCTCCACCATAGATATACTGACATGAACTTGAAATGAAAATATAGGAAGCATACCAAGAAGTGGACCTATACCGACATTTCTACAAACCCATAATGTAAACCATAATATTCATTTCAGAAATGTTTAATGGATAATTTTACCCTTAGCCTTATGGCGAATGGGGGTGTATACACTTTTACCTGGTGAAAATGTGCCTCATCGAAATAATGGTTCTAGACCCCATGTTTCTTTGGACCGAATCCGTTTCAGAAAATGTTGATTTCATCCAAACGTTGTCTATCTTATTATTTCTTTAAAATATAGTTCAAGTTCGAAGATGGGGAATATCGGTCCACTCCTCCTGTACCTCCCACACAGGGCCTAGACCAAAATGTGGGCTTTAGTTCATTATCGAACCTTAAGCTCTAGTTTTTTATCTCGATATCCTCCGCAGATGAAATGATTAGAACTGAGTCATAGAACCAAACCCAAACACGAAACAAATCAGATAACTATTTTAATATAAAAAAGGCGTTATATGGGAACGACCCCAAAAAGGGGGCGAATATTAAAAATTTTTGGTAGGGGAATTTGTAACCATATACGACTACAAAATACCAAATTACATCAAATTCGGTTGAAAAAGGCACTCAAGAATCCCAAAATACCGAAAATTGGGGGTATCCTTATATGGGGGACATCCGAAAAAATTTACCTATATTTATATTTTTTTTGTGGAGAGATTTGGTACCTATTAGGAACTCAAAATACTAAATTACAGCCAATTCGGTGGAAAAATACGATAAAAATCCCCAAAATACTGAAAATTAGGAGGTACCGTTATATGGGGGCTTCCAGAAAAAGTGGACCTATATTTAAAATTTACCAAATTTCAGCGTATTAGGATGAAAATCGCGCTCAAGAACCCCAAAATACCGAAAATTGAGGGGTACCGTTATATGGAAGCTATGCCTACACGTGGACCGATATATCCCATCTTCGATCTTGACCTGCCTGCAGACAAAAGACGAACCTATGCAAAATTTCAGCTCCCGATCTCAATTCCTTCAGAAGATAGCGTGATTACAACAGACGGACAGACGGACGGACATGGCTAGATCGTCTTAGAAGTTTACCCTGATCAAGAATATATATACTTTGTCGGGTCGGAAATGTATATTTCGATGAGTTACAAACGGAATGACAAAATTAATATACCCTCCATACTATGGTGGAGGGTATAAAAAGTGTTCTAATATATTCCACAACGATTTCGATCATAGTTTATAAATCTGGTCTCGTAATCTTTATAAATAATTTTAGAACCTGGCAGCGAATGAAATGTCAGGTTCATTGGGCAAAACATTTACGGAATGTCATATGGGGACGTTCGTCCAATTGGAAACTATATAATCGTACAATAAGTTCACTTTTCCTAAAGTTTCTACAAAGACTTCGACAATCCATCCTTATCAGATATTTCCAATATGGCATTCATTTTTCTACCTTACACAACTATGTTGTCAGGGTATTATAGCTTTGTGCAGCCCCAAATGTTTGTAACGCCGCGAAATATTGGTCCTAGACCCACCTTTAAGTATACCGATCGTCATATCTCGACTAGCTGAGTCGATCTAGACATGTGTGTCCGTCCGTCCGTCCGTCTGTCCATTATAATTTGTAAACACGATACAGGCCACAGTTATGGACCAATCTTCACGAAATTTTGCATGTAGGATGGGTTCTGGCCAATGAAGACCCCTATTGTTTTTGGAAAAGATCGGTTAATATTTAGGGGATGAAATGGACCAAATACTAAATTTTTGTCGGTTTTTCTGGTCGATCCAGAGGCCGCAAAATGGACCGAACTTGCATGGAGAAGGGGATCGGGCCAAAGAATAAGCATGCATGTTTTGATAAAGATCGGTCAATATTTAGCGGGTCAAATGGACCCTGACTTTTGTGTGAAAAATGACAAAATTTGTATTCTATGGCATATATATTTACTCCTGGAGGATGTAGACCCTAGGAGTTGATAACATATCCAAGAGGAGTGGTTGACCTTTAAATTGATACCAAATATAGTGATGTATCTACTCAGATGTGGGAGTTACAGTCAAATATTTACATGTGCTTACGTATTCAGATATTATTTAGTAATCCATTACCACATTAAAGGGAGAAATATCGCGCTGATGGCTTTGAAATTTTTCATGAAGTTCCAGTTATGGTCAAGAACAACGCCTACAATTTTCGGTGATGATCAGATTAAAATTTTGGGATGAAATGGACCGAAAACATAATTTTTTGTGTGTTTTCGAGTAGAGTATAATCCGAACATCACAACACACCCACCGTGAAGGTAATCTGGACAAGTAATTAGAAGGACTGTACAAGAGGGGGCAAATATCAGGAAATATTACTCAGACTCGGAATAAACATCCTCAGAAAGTTAGAGTTCGTGGTAGTTGTGTAGGATATCGTATGGTCGGCCCCGTCCGACTATACTGCTCCGCTCACTGGTTATAAATAACTTTGAAAATAATTTTTGGGTTCCACTTACTTAACATCAACTCTTGCCAAATGCATAACCCTTGAACGACCACTGCCACAGGGTTCAATTAAATATCTCGAGGCCAATACCACACCGCGTACTGCATTGAACATTGGTTTGGCTTTTGCATGATCGATGGAGGTTTCAACAATCACACAAGCACCACGGGGTAAATCAGTACGCCAAGATCTGAAAAACCAACAACAACAAAATATTAATTATATTCCGAAAATTTACAAAACATTGTCTCTACAACACTACCTTAATACACAAAAATCTGTACACTGTTGGCCATCAATGGCATATTGGAATATTTCCGTACAATCATCGAATTTCTTAATGGTTTGACTTTGCAACAAATTTGGATCCCATGAGGCACGTTGTCTTATTATATAATCCAAAACATCTTTGGGTGGTCCCTCAATTTCGGTAATGCAACGCCACAATCGAAGAGGATGGCCATCGCCCACCTTTTTATAGGCAATTTCAACATTGCTGTCATTTATGGAGGTGGTGGTAATCCAGCCACGGGACCTAAAAACGAAGGCAACAAATTAAATTATTAAAAACCTTAAAAATCTTGTATAAAATTCTCCAACTTACTTTTCTCTACCCTCCTTGATGGTGGCACTTGTGCTCTCATACAAATAGCCACGCCAATTATGAAATTGCATACCCTCACCCAAGGCTTCCAGGGGCAGTGGTTTTGATTCTTCCATATAACCAAATTTACACTTGGCCAGCTTTTCTTTGGGTGCGGTGAAGATTTGCTTGTAATTCTGTATCATAAATGCCAAACATTCATGTGAAGCCTTGGCCTCAAATAATTCTTTGGCATCGGGTACACCCGAACCCTTGGCTTTGCGTCTTGGTGATGCAGTAACCGAATTGCTACCCGTCGATATACTACTATGGAATAAGGAGGGGGCCAAACACACAGCCAAGTTATTGGCTGTCATTTGATTATATTGCGAATTGGCAGCCACCAGTGTTAGGAATTCCAAGAGAGCATAGAGGATTTCACGATTTTCATCGGGCAACAAAAGGACGGCAGATTGTACAGCATCCAAACGGACTTCGGTGGGGAGATCTAGAATCAAAATTAATTTTTAATTACAGTTGTTAATTCAAGAAAAAATTCCCCACTTACGTTGAAAAATTGCCGCAAATGTCTCCGACATTTTGGTGGTCAACAGTGACTCGGGTAAATCGCGGAAATACTGTTTCAACATATCAGCCACATCATAGGCCTGCTGCGTATCAAACACATCCATACATTCCGCAGTGGTCTCTGAGTATTCTATCAATTCTTTAAGTTTTAAAATTCTCGATTTAACACCACTCTTACGGAAGAGACCAATTTGATCGAGAGCATTCAGCTGAAGCCAACGGAAGGCAGCCCTTACAGCAATGGGCAGTGTCTGGCCACTACGTTGCAGAATAAGTAAAAGAGGTACACCAAAAACTTTCTTATCCTTATAATCGGGCATTTTGATTTTCTTTATGAATTTCGGAAGCTCCCAGTTCCATCCCGACCGATGAGTGGGACAATAACGTTCCATATACCCGGTTAGGGTAACCAAAGCCAATTTACGTATCATTTGTAATTGACCGGCAGACATGGCAGCGAATGGTATGCCATGTTCATTGGAATGAGGATCATTTTTCTGGGCAAAACATTTGCGGAATATCATGTGGGGACGTTCTTCCAGCTGGAAACTATGCCACCGTACAACAGGAGAACTTTTCTTGATGGGCTCTACTTCCACCTCAACCTTGGGTTCTTTGCGTGTGGTGGATCTTGAACGGAAACTGGCCGAACGGAAACCTTCACGTTTCTTGCCATCCCTACCCAAATTCAGGGAACCTCCTCTTGACAGTTTCTTTGATTTCACCTCAGTTGTATTGGCATTGGCATCCTTGATCAGTAGCTTCCTACCTTGATGGCATTCGGAATCAGAGTGTGCTCCAATATCATCTACCTTCCCCGTTCTTTGCAGGAATCTTCTTGCCTTGGAGGGGGTCTTACGTATACTCATCTTATTCACCGCCGATGTGGATTCCTGGCTATCGCTATAATACGAGGAGGAATCATCGGATTTACCCTCCTTTACATAGGGCATGGTATTGGTAAAGAAATGCAAGGGACTTGTCCGCATAGACCGAGGCGTGGTGGGTGTCCTCTTGGGACTTGCACGATTTGGACTTAAGAAATTATCACTTTGTGAGGGTACCTTCAGTTCATTGCCAAACATCGGTCCCTTATTGAAAGTGTGCATGGGACTGACGGCAGATGGTGATGGTGGCGTGGAATATACCGCATCCGGTTTACGCATACTTGACCGTTGACCCAACTGCGATAAATCCAATGCCTGTGGACCACTCAGTACAATACCCTGACGTTTTCTTCTACGCGATTTAATCGATTCCACCCTTCTCAATATGGCCTTAGCACCATCCTTTAAACGTTCACTACCCGTACGCCTCAGCGGGCTGGCATTAACATCTGCGCTACCATCGGTATTTAATGCCGTCTCTGCAGAATCATCTGTATAGGTACCGGGTAAAACTAATGATAGTGGACCACCGGTAATATCATAGGAATCATCCTCAAATCTATCGGGACTGGATTCTTTTGATGATGATTCGGTTTTTTCGCAGGTGGATAATTTTGTGGCGGGTGGTATTTCAAGACCCATTTCACCAATACGCGACCAGCGACGTATATGTGGTTGGAATGTCCAGTTTTCACTCAAGGCAAAATTTTCATCATCCGAGTCTTCTTTCTGTTGAAGGGGGGCAAAAAGAGAAATCAAAATTTAGTTGACATTTTTCATGGCATATTTTTAGGCGAAGGCAAAGTTACCTGTGGTGTTTGTGCTTTGTGAGATTGATCAACGCGCATATTGGCACAACGATTTAAGATACACAAACGCCGATATAGAGATTGCAATTGATCATTTTCCAAATTTGTATGATCCTTGGCAACATTGGTCAGGTCAATGGGGAATTGATGATCTGGAATAAAATAAGAAATTATTAAATTGGAAAATATAAATTAAAATTAAATAAATAAATTAAATAGTGTTATTAAAGTTAAATAATGTTATTTTTAGGAACTAATACAAGGCGAGAATTTTTTAAAATACTTTCAAAGGGACAGTCGTGGATTTTTAAAAATATTTTTCCAAGGCGTGGATTTTTAAAAATATATTTTTCAAGGCATGGATTTTAAAAAATATTTTTTCAAGGCGTGGATTTTTAAAAAAATATTTATTCAAGGCATGGATTTTTAAAAATATTTTTTAAGGCGTGGATTATTTAAAATATTTTTTTAAGGCATGGATTTTTAAAAATATTTTTTTAAGTCGTGGTTTTAAACAAAAATATTTTTTTAAGTCGTGGTTTTAAACAAAAATATTTTTTCAAGGCGTGGATTTTAAAAAAAAAATATTTTTTCAAGGCGTGGATTTTTAAAAAAATTTTTTTTAAGGCGTGGATTTTAAAAAAAACATTTTTTTCAAGACGTGGATTTTAAAAAAAATATTTTTTCAAGGCGTGGATTTAAAAAAAATATATTTTTCAATGCGTGGATTTTTAAAAATATTTTTTCAAGGCGTGGTTTAAAAAATATTTTTTCAAGGCGTGGTTTAAAAAAAATATTTTTTCAAGGCGTTGTTTAAAAAAAATATTTTTTCAAGGCGTGGTTTAAAAAAATATATTTTTTTAAGGCGTGAATTTTTAAAAATATTTTTTCAAGGCGTGGATTTTTAAAAATATTTTTTTCAAGGCGTGGATTTTTAAAAATTTTTTTTCAAGGCGTGGATTTTTAAAAATATTGTTTCAAGGCGTGGATTTTTAAAAGTATTTTTTCAAGGCGTGGATTTTTAAAAAATATATTTTTTAAAAATATTTTTCTATATATTAAAAATATATATATATTTAATTAAATATTTTTATTTTTAGCATTTTTTAATGTTTATAAAGTTTTTATTTATTATTTTTTAATTTATTTATAATAAAAAGTATGTTAAAAAAATTATTTTTTATTTATAAATAATTTTTTTATGAATTATTGGATTTTTAACTTTTTATTATTATTTTTTCATTATTTTTTATTAATAAATTTAAATATTATATATTTAATTTCTTTTATTTTTAATTATTTTTTTATATAAAACTGACTTTACTTTTTTTTATATATTTTTTAAACTCTTTTAATTGAAGTATAATATATTTTTATTTGTAATTTTTTAATGTTTTTAAATTATATATATATTTATATTATATATTATATATATATTTTTAATAAATTTATTGTTATATTTTATAAAATATATATATGTTTTTATTTTTAAGCTTAATATTATTTATTTTTTTTAAATTTTATTAAATGTATTTTATTTTTTTTAATTATTTTTAAATTGAATTAAATACAGATTTTTTTAATTATTTTTAATTTTTTTAAATTAATTAAATTATTTTATTATTTTTTATGTAAAATTTAAAAATTATTTTTTTTTTTTATTTTTTTTTTTAATTTTATATTTATATTTTTTTAGAAAATCAAATATAATTATTTTTTAACTTTATTTTTAATTTATGTCTTTGTTATGTTTTTGTTATTGGAAAATAATTTTTAAATATATTTTTCCTTAACTTTTTTAATTTTATAATAAAATATTTGTTTATTTATTTTTTCAACTTCATCACACCTTTTGTTTTTAACATCATCACCAACAACAATGTCTTGATATTCTGTCCTTGCCAAAAATACCATTGAATTTTGAAAATTCTATTGAAATATAAACGCAATAACAACAAGGATCTACGGATCGCCTTCTTCTTCTTCTGCGTTAACGAATAAAAATGACAAATGGAAAATTGTTGCCACGTCTTGTAAGAAGAATATAATTTTCGTAGGACACCGAAAAATTGCTCAAATAGTAGACGTTTCGATGCCATGTGAGAATCAGAACTGAATGAAGAAACCAATTACACATATAGACGACTATGGACAACGACGCCTATCGATGATTATTGGACTAAAATGAGGAAAACAGATGAAGAGAAAAAAAAAAACAAAATTCGACACAAAAAATCAGCTATCCAAAAAAATATACAAGAAACAGAAAAAAACAACAAGAACAACAACACAATACTGGAAAACCAGATGAAACCACGCAATAAATGCAAAAATACAAATTTTAAATTGGCAATCGCGTTATAGTAAAGTGTACGTATTTGCGGAGCAGGCTAGATGTGTGTATGTATGTTTGTTACATTTGTATATATACAGATTTACATTCAATGAAATATAAAAATAAGTATTTTTTTGTAATGGATTTATTTTTTGTTTTTCTTTTTTTTTTATTTTATTTAATTAAAAACATATAAATAAAAACAAACAAAAATTAATAAAAAAAATGAGCAAAACAAGAACAACAACAAATTTTGCAATTTATTAAATTGAATTATGAAAAAAAAATGAGAACAAACCGAAATGTAGACAAAAAATATGACACGAAAAAATAAGGCCTTTGAATATGAGGAAATTGGGGTTCCTGAGGAGGATACAAAGGAGAGGAGGATATAAAGGAGAGGAGGATATAAAGGAGAAAAAATTGTCATTAGGATAATAACGACTGAATTTGGTTCCTAGCCAATGGATCAGTTGAGACAAAGGAGAATATTTTCCTTTGGGATTTAAGAATCGAAATGTAGACAAAAAATGTGACATAAAAAATAAGGCCTCTGAATTTAAGGAAATTGGGTTTTAAAGACAATTAGGGGAGAGGTGGATATAAAGGGGAATATTTGTCATTAGAATAATAACGAATGAATTTGGTTCCTAGCCAAGGGATTAGTTGAGACAAAAGGGAATATTTTCCTTTAGGATTTTTGAATACCGATAGGGTTTCCGAAGATCTTATTTTGGTATATACACTAATTTAGTCATACCATTGGATTCATGTTTCGGTTATAGAATCCTTGAATATTGAAGACTTATTTGAATGGTATTCCCTATTTAAAATTTGTCACAAATAAAGTTCTCTGTAGATTTTTTGTTTGTTTTTTGTGTGTGTATTTTTTTACCAAACATTTTCCAAAGACAATTTTTTATATTGCAATACAATATTGTAGGTAGAAAATCAAGTTCTATATTCATTTGTATATCTATATGAAAAAACCACAAAAAATGGTAAATTATTTAGCCACACTCATATGGGATTTATTTTCCATTATAGCCTCTTAAATAGTCAAATGCGTTGCAGAGATTTATGGAGGAAAGAAAAACAAATCTAAAAAAAAATGCAGGGTCGTATAAAGTATTTGGTTTGGGAGGTCCTTCACAAAAAAAAGAAAAAAAAATATATACCATGATGACTACAAACTGTCCGTTAGCGACTATTTAGTATTCGTTATATATTAATTTAATCCTTGGCAAAAAATTAAAAAATAAATACCTATCCTTATTAAAAAAAAAAACATTCAAAATAAAAAAATATATCATAACACATTGTTCCCAATATTTTAAATAATACTTCTAGCGACTATTTAGCGTTCGTCATATATTAATTTAATCTTTGGAAAAAAAATTTAAAAAAAAAATCAAAACCTATTTTTATTGAAAAAATATAAAAAAAAAAACATTCAAAATAAAAAAAATCTGTCATAACTAACATTGTTCCCTATATTTTTGAAATTTTATTTATTTATTTTTATTATTTTTAATTTTAGACCCTCCCATTATTTTTTAAATAATCCCAAAACCCCCTCTCATTTACCACGTTCCTGTCCAGAACATATCAATATAACTGGGCGTACACATAAAAAAGACAAATGCGAATTTTTTCTGCAAAGCGTCCAGATCAGCCCAGACCACAACACACAATGGTGATGATGTTGTCTGGCTGTTGGGACGCCTTAATTTGTATTTGGAAATTAGATATAAGCCAACAAGAAAAAACAATTCCATAATGACAATTACCTGCCAATTTTTATCAATGGGAGCAACAGGAAGGCCAACAATATAAATCTAAATCTAGCTAAGAAATTGAATTGCATTTCATTGAATTGATTTTGTTTTTGTCTAACAACAAAAAATTTCGGTGTCTATGTGTCAACCACATCCACACACACGCAAAAAATTAAAGACAACAAATTTACAACATGTTCTCATGGCTTGGGGTTTGGAAAAAAATATAATTTGTTTCTTAGCGTTCCGGTAGAGATTAATGAACTTTTAATTGCTTGGTGTGGATTGGCAAATGAGAAGGGTGATATATTTTTAAAATATAGAAAGGGGAATTGAGCATAAAAAGTAATAATAATACCCGTAATAATAAAAAAAAATAATAATAATAACAATAATAATAAAAAATTATAATGATTAATTTAAGTTAAAAAAAAATCACCGATTGCCTTTAAAAGAATAATAATCAAAATATAATATTATAAATTCGCAAAAGTGAAAAATACTTGATGCTGACACAATAAATCGGCTATTAGTTCTTGAGATTTTCACTTTAAATTTTGTAGGGAAAAATAATAAAAATCAATAATTCCCTTAAGGTAAAAAATGTAACAAAAATATATTTAATAAAGTCAATTTTATTTTAATCTATACTAATAAAAGAGTAAAGTGATTGACTGACTGACTGATTTAACGATTCTTCAAATTTTGGGTGAGGGTCACTCTTGGTCCAAATGTGACAGCTAAGGCTGGGTTTTTTGGAAATTCGTACTAGAACGGTACGAAAAGTACTAAATGTGTTACCATTTGTATTTGGCGAACCGGTGGAGCTAGAACTCTGAAATTTGGACCAAAAGGGTTTTGGAAATTCGAACTATAACTATCCGAAAAGTACGAAAATGTACTAAATTTAGTACAATTATGGAGCATGGGAACGGATGGCGCTAAAAACTTGAAATTTGGAGTGTGAATTAAGATTGAGAAGTAGATTCCATTTAAGGAGATGGTTTTGTAAGCTTGTACCCATGTGTACGAAAAGTAC